AGGGTGTAGTCTTAGGAGACAGTCTTTTTTCAGGGTTCCAATGTGTGTAAGAGAAGCAACAATTAGTCAGCAGCATTGTCCATGAATGTCCAGTATGACAGTTTCATTACTTAAAAATAGTCCATTATCCAAGCCAAAAGAAAAAAAGTTGGAGCATTGGCTAAAACAAGATAGCAAATATATCAAAATCACAGGGAAAAAAATGTTAAAATGGTTCCTTGGGTTTCCTGGAATAGAACCTGAAAAAGCAAAATCAAAATATCAGTAATTAACTTTCAATTAAAAGGAGTCATCTCCTTACTTCTGTTAGCCACTCTGGGACAGAAGCTGAAAGAGCAGATTAAACATCTAAGCACAGATTACACCTCCCCCACACTAGGGAGGGACAACAACAACACAGGTATGAAAACCTGGTACAGTTACATGATGCACCCTAAAGAGTGCTTTCCATAACAGACCTTCCTCAGTAGGAAGCAGAAACTTAGAATCTTGTCTTACACCAGCAATTGAACAAATCCAGTATTCAAAATGGCAAACATGCCCAAAACAAATTGTGTAGACAAAATTTACAGTAGCAAATCCTTTCAGACTCAGACAAAATCTTGTTAATTTTTCTGATCCAGACTTTGCAAAAATTCAAGTTATCTCCAAGAATCCATCAAGGATACCAGCGATTACCAGTTACTGCTTAAGGCTACTCTTTCCTTAACACCCAGGCATACATTTGCTAATTAAAAACACCACTGCTTCACAGTTGGCTGGCAAAATGCATCAGGCAAAGAGCAGGAAGTAGCCAAAGACAAAGCTACATACCACTGAAGAAACATTATTGCCTTTAGAAATGCTAATGAGACAGCAGAGATTACAAAAAGAAAGAAAAAAAAAATTCCAAAGTCCTAGCAACAAGAAACTCTGAATTTTACAAGAGCCAGCCAAGTGGCCTCAGACGCCATCTTTGATCTGGCCACATGGTCCAATGTACTGCCTAATCTTGAGTAAAACTGGCACAGAAAAAATTTGCACAAATTAAAACCTCTTAGCAAGTCACTACAAACAAATTACATACAGACACACAGATCTTCACAAAGCCCAAGCCAGTTTTTCAACAGCAAATCGACATATGAAACAAACACTAGAGAAACCAAAAATCACATTTGCGCTTATGGTAGCCAGTGCCATAGGGAAGCCCAATTTCCCCATGGGGCTGACTAACCACGGATGGCTCTATCCTAAATCACGTTGGACGCCAAATCTGTTATAGGACAGGGAGAGGGGCAGCCCAAACCCCGCAAACCTGCCTATTCTACATGGGTTCTGCCATCCGCCGCATCAACACAAAACATATGACACTTTAATGGGAAGGATCTTTAATAAAAACTAGGAAACAATACAGGTAAGGCAAAGAGTCTAGTTTCTAAATGAAGCACCCAAAGTTACCCATCCCCTCGTGGGTAAAACTCCATCCATATGGGGTCGGCCCAGAGCAAGGCCCCAAAGCCTGCCACAAGTCTAAAGCATCTTCCAGTGGGGACCCACAGAAAAGGGTCACAAACAACCAGACAAGCCCGGAAGGAAAAGAGCAAAATAAACATCCAGATAAAAGCTGCCATGGTCACCTCCCCACGGGTCTCACCCACATCTGTGTCACCCAGTCCACGACCAAAAGACAAGCGCAGTTTCTTCACATGTCTCTAGGCTCCATGCGCCTCCTCCAGGTCTCCTGGCTCCATCCTGCTTCCTTCCTCCGTCTCTTCTGCAGCTTCTTCTCTTGCTGCTCAGCTCCACCCTCCCTTGGGTGGGGCAGGGAACCTCCCCCTTTCCTGGGGACCACCCTGTTACAGGACCTCTCCTCTCCATTGCAGACGCCTCACATCCACCGGCCTTGATTCCTGGGGTAAGTCATCAATCTGATTCTCCTTCCTAGGAGGCTCTCGCCTCTGGCTATCCAGCTCCTCTCCTAACCCCGTTTTGGTCGGTTGTCCTGAAACCATGGGCCCACATCAGCTGACCCCCTATTACACCTAGACCTGGATTTGGGGATGCCCGTCCAGACTAGGAGCCTGGTTTAAGGCAACAGGTGAGTGGTGGAGACGTCCCCCTCGTCTGTCTGTCTCCTGTCCTGTAGCCAGAACCGAGAGGTGGAGACGTGCCCCTCACTTGTTTGCCCCCTGCCTGTTGGCCAGAACCGAATTGTGGGACGCCACGATCCTGGGTCTGTGCCCCCTGTAGGCCAGGTCAGGCTCGTGGGACACTGCGTCCTGACACTGTGCCCCCTGTTGGTTGGGAAAAGGAGCTGGGTTAGCTATGGGGTCTGCAAATTCTAAGCCTGATCCAGCTACTCCACTGGGATGCCTCCTCTCAAACCTCGGTCTGCTGGGACTAAGGCCAGATATACATCCTAAGTGACTCATTTTTCTCTGCGACACTGCCTAGCCTCAATACCAATTGGATAATGGCTCTCATGGCCAAAACATGACACTTTTGATTTCATGGTCCTTACAGACCTAAACAATTTCTGTCACCGCAAAGGAAAATGGTCAGAGATCCCTTAGGGTCAGGCTTTCTTTCTCTTGCGCAACCATCCCTCCCTCCCATCTCTCCCTCCAAAAAACCTGCCACACTTTCTAAGTCCTCCTTGCTCGAGACTCCTCTCACTCCCCACCCTCTACTTCTGACACTAAAAAGACTGCTTCATAACCTGTCATCAACTTTCTCAGATCCTCCAGATTCTCTTTCTTCACCTCCTTCTGCTCCTCAGGGAGCTCCGCCTTATGTGGGACCTGCCTCCAACTGCCCTCCTTCCCCTACTCAATCCAGCCCTCCTCTCTCACCTCCTAGCCACCACACCTGCTCTCACTGAGACGTTTTATCACTCTATGGGAAGCAATCACTCTATGAAGGAAAAGAAAGAATAAAAGAAAAAGAAAATATTTACTATCAACAATCACATCAGTCACCGATTGATGCCACAAAGAGAACATCAAGCAGCAGGACTAAAGACATGAAATTTAGACATGAAAGTAAAAAGCCAATAGATCTAAAAATATTGAAAAGAGTTACCTGGAGGAAGGCAAAGCTGAGAAGAGGACTACAAGGGTGTCAATTTCAAGAGAAATCTTCTACAAATATTTGCATCTTAATTCCAAACAGTTGTGACTGATTCAAATAGGGTCTCCCCTGGTGGCGCAGGTGGTTGAGCACAGCTTTGTGAAGTTGTCCACAGCCTCTGCAGTGCAGGTTCAATCGAGCCAGCTGGCGAGGGTCCCACATGGTGCAGCAGACCTCTCCCATGGCACCTGCTGCTCCCTCAGCAGTGTATTTTGTCAGTCTGCCTTTTCTGCTCCCTACTCTGTCTTTGGTGAATCCTCACCCTCCCGCACCTCTGGCCTGTACGCTGGATCTTGTATAAATAAAAATAAATCTTTAAAAAAAAAAAACAGAACAGTTGTACTGTTTTATACTGATCAATCAGTTGTACTGATTCAAATAAAAGCAAAAATTTGCATGAGTATGAAGTTTACCTAATAACAACTGAGCACAAAGGACACTTGCAGCTAGCTAAAATGCAAAAACACCCGAATGCAAGCCTGAATGCTGCATGACATCAACCCCGAATAAAAACACGAAATATGTCAACACACACGATGTGAAAACATGTATCCATGAATTCTCATTTCCAATTTCCTTGCTGTTCACGCTGTGAACCTAGGTAAGGGGAATAGGACCCTCATCCTCCTCTTCCTTCCAGGCAGGTCTTGCTGCCCCCTGGGCTCCTGTCAAATGTTGGGTTGTGGGTGGTGCCCCCCACCCGAGTGCTCTCTGTCATCAGTGTTTAACCAGCGCAGGGGTAAGTCATTCCTGACCAAGAAGAGTACCAACTGTCAGTGTGCCCCCCAAAGTGAGGAAGCATGATCCTCAGATGGGAACCCCTCATCTCCCTTACAGAAATTTCCCTCTTGTAGAAATCTCACAGAACTTGGGGGGAGATGCTGGGGCTGTGTGTGCTCATCACGTCCGTGTTCACTTCTCCCCTAAACTCAGTCTTCACGCACCCAGAAGCCACTTCATCCCAGCGGACTGGCCCCTGTTCTGTGTGGTGTGGCTGTCACAGGGCAGGGGGAGGGGCACCCAGGAACCCCCAAACCTGCCTGCTAAATGCCTCCTGCCATCTGCCTCATCAACACAAAACATAACCTAGTGCATGAGACCTTCCCTGCAGAGGAACTTTAATACAATTAGTGTGCAGAAGAGAGAAGGAAAGAAGAGTTTCCAAATCAAACATCTAAAATCACCCATCCCCTCGTGGGTAAATGCCCCAACAAGTTTGGCCAAAAGCAGGACTGCTGAGGCCCAAAATCTTGCCACAAGTCTAAGGCACCTTCTGGTGTGGAACCATAGGAAAGGGGTGGAAGGGGCCAGGCAAGTCTCTAAGGAAAAAGAGAAAAAGTCAAAACTGAAATCAAGTAAAGGCTGCCATCGTCAGCCTCCCCATGGTCTCTCACCCACGTTTGTCTCACGTGTTTCTTCCCATGTCCCCATCCCTGGTACAAGCCAAGGCCAAGAAGCAAATGCAGCTTCTTCACGTCTCTGCCTCTGTGCCTTGCCCAAGCCCTTCTCATGCTCCCCTTCCTGCCTTCTCTGGGTCTTCTCTAGCTTCTCCTACCGGCTCAACCCCACCCTTCCTTCCCGGGGGCAGGAACCCTGGGGATTACCCTGTCACAAGGTCACCCCAATGCACTGTCTATGTCTCCTCCAGAGCTCAGCTCTGCCCCATCACATGAGCTCCCACCATCAGGGAAGATTCCCCCAGACGCCCCATTCCAGCTTTTCCAGCCCTTTGTGCTTTCCTGTGAGTCTGGCAGTACTGGGAGCTGGGGAGCGGGAGCTGGGAAGTTTTAGCACAGGGTCTACCTTGCCCTCTCCCCACAACCTCACACCCTTCCCAGTCATATGAAATACACACACCAGATATGTATGTTTAAAGATTTATAATATAAAATTGTAAAATACTGCACAAAGGAATTATAGGTATGTATATAAATATATACACATATATATACTATATATACATACATTACATGAGCTGCAGAGATACAAAGTAACAGAGCACAAAGGAAAGCTGGTGTGAGAATCCTCAGGAGGTACCAGAGGAAAGAGAGTTACAGAGAATGCTGTTATCTAATTGCAGATGAGAAAAAGGAGGCATCAAGAGAAAGTGCTGGTGAGAGGAGCGCAGGCATGAGTCCAGGGCCAAAGTGCAGATGCTACGAGGCCGCAGTTGAGTCCATGGACTCAGGCACTCACAACAGAGGCTGAGAACCCTGAGGCCCAGGGGCTTGAAGGTCCGTTGTCACCCTTGGCTCAGGTCTTGCAGGCTACCGGGCCCTGGGGAAAGAGACACCAGTAAATGCTCAGTTGGTTGCAGATTACTGTCTTCTGTTCCTTGAGGAATTCCCCTTCGGTTGCCCCTGACTCCACATCACCTGTCCCTGCGCCCAGCACCACCACCAGGTGAGTGCTTGTAAGGGCCAGACTGAAGGACTAGATCCAGGAGCAGAAACTGAATGCCCCCCTCTCCTCTCCATCCCTGGCCTTCCCATATCAGTGCCAGGGTCCCTGAGAGCAGTCAGGCCCGGCCTCCAGGCCTGGGGGTGCTCACACCCAGGAGCTTCTCTCCTCAGTTCCCAGCCTCCTCTCCTCACAGCCACCTGCACCCCAGGGTCACTACCTGCTCCCTTCCCAGCCCCATACCCTTGACCTACCCGGCAGCTCAGCCTGTTCCTGCCCCAGCCCTGACCAGCAGCTCCTAACTGCACGGCCACTGGCATCTCAGGTGATGTGCTAGGTGGCTGATAGACCCTGGAGCGCCTCACACAGGTCAGCCCTGGCCGGACCCTCCTGGCCCCCCAGGATCTCAGGCCGGACTTGGCCCTGGTGCCTGGAGTCTGAGCTCCACCCCATGCTGCTGCCTGGCTGAGGCTCCCAGGCCCTCCCTCCTGTCCAGGCTCTGGCTCACAGCCTTAGGGGGTCTGGCTTCTCAGGGCAGTAAGGGACTCTGGAGACCCCTAGCCTGAGTCTAGGTCTGTCCTCTTTGACCCTGGACTGTCCTGGACTTTGACCCCCCACCTCCCATCTGGAACCCTCTTAAACAGGGGGCTCCCAAGGGAACTCCTGTTCACTTCATACACATCCCAAACCCGGCATTGGAGGAAATCCTGTTAAGGCTAACCAATGACAGTCATAAGCCTCTGCTTTGTGCTGCAGGGGGCCTAGCTGCCCCTGCCAGGCAAGACATTGGCAAGCAGCTAAGAAAAGGGCCTCACACAGTGGGCTTAAGTTTAAAGAGCCTCACACCATGGGGCTGAAGATCAAACATCCCTTTGTTTGTTGTTCTTGTGTCGGTCCTGCCTGCAGGCCGACGGGGTTCAGGAACATGGCGGAGGGGCTGGGGATGAAAAAACACGTGCACTCACATTGATGGCTGCAGGAAATCTCTTTATTCGAGGGGAGGGGCTATATGTATCGGAAAGCCTGCGCATGCGCTTTACGTGGATTTGCTACATCCGGTTACTGTTGCATCAGCTTCCGCTTTGGGCGGAAGTGACTCATCTTTGGGCGGAAGCGACCACCACCCCAGGTCCCCCTGCTGGTGTAAGCCTGGTACTGACATTCTTGGTCGTAACAGAAATAATTTCTCAGAATATACATTGGGCAAAGAACTATAAGAACATGTTTATACTATATATAAATATAAGGATAATTATAAGAATATTGTAAGTACATGGCATGGAAAATTACTTACTTAAAACTTAAACACTGAATAATTTGGCCTACTTGACAGTGGGAAATAATAAATGTGCAAGGGCATGTCTGATAAGCAACCCAGAGCTGGTCATATTATTCCTCATATGGGAGTTCCGTAGAGAAGCCTTGTAACGAATCATGAAGTTAATTACGATAGTAGTTTCTGAGTAATAGAAAAAAAGTTCTAATAACTGATTACCGGGAAGCAACTGGTCTCTACCGTAAGTCCTATAGATAGAAAAGTCTCCTGATATTGTAGCCTTGGCAACAGGGCGGTACCAAGGACTGTTAGCTGACCTAGGTAGTTGTTTAGGCTGAAATAATGTGTCTAAGTTTTAATTATTAACTTTTAAGGTCGTTTCTTTTCTTGAAAACACGTAGGCGACAAAATGTCTGTGGGAAAGGAATGGAGCGATTGTTTTATTTTGCTTCTATGCTTACCATGATGTAATCCCATTGCTTGCCTTAAACATATAAATAAAGACCCTCTGAGACCCTCAGCAGGAGATGCTTGCACCAAAATAAGAGCGTATTGTATTAGCCTTACCTTCCCCTTTCCCCTTCCCTTCAGGCCTTAAGAAGTTTCTCCTAGGCCATCTCATCCTTTCAGGGACACCTGAACCAACAATTTACCATTAAGTGGGTCTTCCACAGCTTTGGACTTCAAAGTTCAAAGAAGGAAACTGGGAAATGAGCTCATGACTTTCATATTTTTTTTTTTTTAAGATTCATTAATTCATTCATTCAAGCACTGGGTACAGTCAGACGCGCGGGAGGGTGAGAGAATTCACCAGAGCCAGAGCAGGGAGCAGAGCAGACAGAAGGACCAAAGGACACTGCTGAGGGGAGCAGCGGGCGGCAGGAGAGGTCTGCGCGCCATGTGGGACCCTCCTCTGGTGGCCGGGGAGCAGCCAGGGATTGAACCTGCACTGCAGAGGCTGCGGGCAGCTTCACAACCCAGCGTTCAACCGCTGCGCCACCGGGGAGGCCCGACTTTCATATTCTTTTTGCACCCAAGTCTCAATGACAAAAGCAGCAACACTCTGACCCAAGGGGAGGGGGTGTCAGGCAGATGAGCAGGAGACCCACAGACCTGCCCACCTGAGCCCCTCACTGTGGGGCTCAGAGGCCCACTCTCCCCAGAGTTTAATCCTCCCACTAGGTCACAGGTGCTCTTATTGCTTGTTACCCCGAGTTCAGGATCATCCAGCCTACCACCAACATGCCCATGAATCCCAACACACCCCCACAAGCCCTGGGAAGCCGGAGAGAAGGGACAAGTCTGAGGAGACAGAGCAGGGGACACGGCCTCTGCCAACTCCATATACCTCCCAGGAGGGAGGCCCCGGCTACACTCAGGGCCCTGGCTCTGGGCAGGGTTAAGAGTGCAGAGGTGGCCCCCAATCCCATTACAAGGACCCTATTTCCAACTCCTGTTACAGAGGCCAGTCATCCCTCTCCTAGCTGCAGAGTGGGAGACACGATACCCCGGTCACAGGCAGAAGAGCCCCTATCTCACCTACCCACAACCCTGTATCTCACCTGGATTCTCCCCAGCTGATGTGATGTCTTCCTGAACCAAAAGTTATAAAGAAGGACAGCAGCAACAAGGACAGCAAAGACACCAGCAATGATACCCCAGGACACAGCTGGCCATGGACGCTGATGCACCTGCATGTTTCCTAGAAAAGGTCTTATTTTAGCCTGGGCATCCAGAACCACAGGCCTGCTCTCCACCCCCATCCTGGCTCCTGCTACAGGGTCCAGCCCCCACAGGTCACCCCAGGCTCACCACAGGTCACAGTATAATTCCAGTAATGTTCCACAGAGCAGGTAACCCTCTGCTCCTCTCCTTGGGGAATCCTTAGGGCCACCCAGGCCCAACAGGTCCCATTCTCATCACGCAGGACACCGCCAGGCAGCTGGGCATCCTGGCTCAGAGGCTCATCGTCCTGAAGCCAGATCAGTGAGATATTCCAGGGAGAGAAGCCAGATGCCCAGCAGGTCACATTGACCACGCCCTCGGAGGCCTGGCTGCAGGTGGCATTCACAGCTGGGGGCACCAGGAAAAAAGCAGAGTCAATGAAACACAAGGCCAAGCCCTGCTCCCCAGTGAGGGAGATGGAGAGACAGAGGTTGCTCCTCCCCACCTGGACCACTGACCCTGGGCCTTCCCCAGGTGGTTCTGCACCCTGGGACCCACGTCCTCATGCTGGTGGGAGGATGGTCTGGGACCCACATGCTGAAGCTGAGGATGGAGGTGGGAGGGATAGGCTCCTCCACGGGGGGACCAGGAGGGACTGACAGGCTGGGAGTTAGCGGGCCTCACATCCAGCCTGAGGTCATCCCCTCCTTCCTGACACCCCACCCCCAGCTCCAGCTCAGTGCTCTGTAGCTCCCTGGAGTCCGAACCCTCCCCGCCTCATGTCTTCACCCTGGGGCATAACAGTGCAGGCACCTCATGACACCACCCCCCTAAGACCATTCAGGCAGCCCATAGTACTGGAGGGTCCCCTTGGGCAGAGCTGGGATATGGACTGGGGGGTATGGGGTGGCCAGAGTCTCACCTGTTCTCTTAATGAAGACCTTCCAGGATTCCTGGTATCTCCGCAGTTTTCCACAAACAGCACCACGCACAAGGGCCCAGGAATTCTGGCTTCCAATCCTATCTGTGTCCCAGGAGTTCTTGACTTCCACAGCCAAGGGAAGAACTGAGGACTGGGGTGCTTCCCATTCATGGGTCGTCTCGTTATAGAAGAGGAAGGGCTCCCCATTATAGAAGAACCTCCAGAAGGCCCTGGTGGTGTCTTCCTGGATCTCACAGCCCTGAACCTCCTGGAGGGAACGGGAGCCTACCCCCAACACAGACCCAGTGGTGACTCCCCCAGTCCTGTGTCCCCTGCTCCCCCAGGGGAGAAACTCACGCCACCCCTGCCCCCACTCTCCCCACCTCTCCCTGTGCTGGCTGCAGAGACATCACCTCTGTGCTGAAATCCACACACCCCCATTCTCAACACCCCACTGCAAATCCAGTGGAAAGAGACAGGCCCCACCGGCTGCCCTAACTGTCCTGGGAAAGGCCCCCATGCTTGCCCCTCTCACCTCCACTCTGGCTCTGCTTTTCCCTGATATCTGCCAGCTTCGTCAGGAGGTCCCTCCTGTCCTCTGCAAAGCCACTGGTCACTGCGTCCCCCAGCTCAGCCCCCAGGACAACTCGTGCCAGCAGGGCTCCGGTCTCCAGCCTGCCGTTGTCACTGTCATAGCGCAGGATGAGCTGATCGTCCAAGTATTCCTTGGCAACAAATTGTGAGTACAGCGAGGCATCCTGGGTCTCCGTGAGCTCATACTGAAGCCTGTGGGGTCCTGGGGGGAGAAATCCTCAGTGAGGCAGGTATGAGCCACCTGAGCATCAGAGTCACCCGAGGCTGCGCGTCCTGAGCCCTGGAGGCCTGGGGGCTGCAGACAGGGCTGTGTTCGTAGGGACAGGAGGGAGCATTCATAGTACAGGACACCAGGCAAGGAGAAGGAAGGAGAGGGCCCAGGCAGGGGCGGGGGGGGGGGGGGGGCGGGTAGAACTGGGGAGGGAGAGCACAGGGACAGGGCGATGGACCAAGGGGACTGCACCTGAGAGGGGAAATCAGATACTGCACAAAAGTTAACAACTATGTAAGAAAATAAATCGAAGAAAAGGAAGGAAGGAGAGGGGTGAGGGTGGAAAAGGGATCGAGAGGGGAAACATGGAGTCAGAGGCCAAGAGAGGTGGCACCGGGTCCCTCGGAGGACTGTGGGGTCTGCTCAGAGAGCAGCGAGGGGATGTAAGGGTCCAGAGCAGGGGTCAGAGGTCAGATCACCAGTGGTGTGAGGCAGGGAGGGCGACATGAGCCATGCGGGGCTGTAGTTCCTCTAGGACAGGTTGGGGAGGTGGATGAACCTGCAAGAGACCCCGGGAGAGTCAGGTCCAGGGACTGGGAGTCAGTCCATGGGTCCACGGAGAGTTTAGATTGGGGAGAAGGGAGTAGAGCTTCAATGCCAAGCAGGTGGCCAGGGCACAGGAGGGGAGACCTGCAGCGTGGGGATGATACAGGTTGCAATGAGGCCCCTCCACAGAGGGGGGCCTGCATCAGGCAGCAGGTGGGAGAAAGTCACAGGGTGGCGGATCTATGGTGTGAGGAGCGAGAGCTCACTGGGGTCAAGGAACCCAAAGGGGTGAAGGCTAGAGGAACAGCATCAAGAGCAGCTCTCAGGTCTGGGAAGGGGGGAGGTTATACGAGAAAGGGGCAGCTGGGAGATTGGTGCTGAGGGCCAGGACTGGGAAGCAAAATGAGCAGGGCCTGGGTTAGGGTGGGGAGGGCAACTGGGTAGGGTGCTGACCAGAGAGGAGGGTCTGGGGTGAGGACAGGAGGGAAGGGGAAGGGCCCGTGGTGAGGGCCCAGGAGCAGGAGCTGCACTGGCTGGAGGTGGGAGCTGAGGCCAGAAGACAGGGCAGGTCTGTGCACAGGGGCTGTGCCTGCAGTCAAGGCAAAGATGCAGAGCTCCCAGGCTCTCCTGGATGAAGGGGCGGGGGGGGGGGTACTAGCATGGAGGGAGATACCCGAGGCAAAAAGCACCCTCAGAAAGCAGGGCTTAGTGGGCCTCCCTGGTGGCACAGTGTTTGAGTGCTGGGTTGCGAAGCTGCCCGCAGCCTCTGCGGCACAGGTTTGATCCCCAGCTGCTCCCCGGCCACCAGAGGAGGGTCCCACATGGCGCGCAGACCTCTCCTGCCGCCCGCTGCTCCCCTCAGCAGTGTACTTCGGTCCTTCTGCCTGCTCTGCTCCCTGCTCTGGCTCTGGTGAATTCTCTCACCCTCCCGCGCTTCTGACTGTACCCAGTGCTTGTATAAATAAATAAATAAGTAAATAAATCTTAAAAAAAAAAAAAAAGTAAGAAAGAAAGCAAGCAGGGCTTAGTAAAATGGGGGGGGGGGGTGTAGGATCCATCAGGTGAAGGCTCCTGGCAGGCAATGGTGCAGGAGTGAGGAAGAAGAAGACACTCTAGAACACAGAGAGGAGGGAAAGCAGGGAAGGGGGCAGCAGGGATGGGGGGATGCTGGAAATGGGGCAGCTGGGAAGGAGAGGAAACAGATAGGGCGGATGGCAGGAAGGTGAGAGTGGCAGGGAGGGGAGCAGCAGGGAGGGGGCAGCAGGTAAGACCAGAAAGGGGTTGGGGGAAGAAGGATGGAGTAGGAGGGGTCCACATGCAGGACCAGGAAAGAACTGAGAGACTGTTCAGGCAACCTGGGAGGGCAGGGCACGGCCCGGAGAGCAGGCCACAACTTTACTGCTTAAATAACATCAATACAGCAAAAAAAAAAAAAAAAAAAACATGTATCAGTATATCAGGAGGGTGTGCAGACAGCCAAGTCCCCCTGACCTTCCTCAAGAGCACCCTAAAGGCTACACCCTTCTTGAGAGGGCCCCAAGGCATGCAGGGGACCCCTCCCAGACCCCAGAAAGGCCCAGGCTCCTGCCTACCAGGACCCATGAAGCCCCCTCACCAGCGGCCAGGTCTAGGGAGGGGGTGAGGGCAGCCAGAAGCAGAACAGGGCACTGGCCCATCCTGAAGCCACAACCTTCCGTGCCTGACAGGGGTGAGCCGGCCTAAGCAGAGGAGGCCAAGGCAGCAGCAGAGGCTATAGCTGCAGTGGAAGCAGAATGTGAGCTGGGCAGAAGCCAGGAAGGCAGGACCACTCAGGTGACCAGCGACCTGCTCACATCAAGGCCTGTCAATTGTTTTCCCTGCATTTCCTGCCCCTCCTGCTCAGCCAACATGACACTAAAGCCAAAACCAATGACAACACACAAAAAAAGAACAGGGAACCTCCAGGTGGTGCAAGGGGTTAAGACGCAGCACTAGGAAGCTCACCTCAGCCCACTGCATCCTGAGTTGGATCCCTGGCCAGGGAGGTGACCCACATGGCACAGCAGACATTTCTGACTTGCCCGCTGCTCCCCTCAGCAGTGTGTTTCAGTCAATCCAGCTGTTCTGTTTCCCACTCTGTCTCTGGTGAATCCTCTCACCCCCTCACACCTCTGGCCTATACCCCACTTCTTGGCATAAATGAATAAATTTTCAAAAAAAAAAAGTAAAACTACAGGCCCATCTCCCTAATGAACACTGATGCAAAAATCCTCAATAAAACCCTTGCGAACAGAACCCAACAAAGCATCAAAAGGATAATATACTATGACCAAGTGAGAGTTACCCCAGGGTCACTAGATGGTTCCACAGCCAAAAATCAATTAATATAACTCAACCCATGGACAAAAAGAAAAAATTCTAAACTCTAATCATATAAACAGATATTGACAAATCATTTGACAAAGTTCAACGTCCACTCATGATGAAGATAGAAGGGATAGAAGCTACATGCCTGACCTAACATGGTAAAATTCATCTGTGACACACACACAGGATGTCCCCTCTCACCACTGCTTCTCCGTGTAATCCTGGAAGCCCAGTTTACTCCTGGAGGAGCAACAAGGTAAGAGAAAGACACACAAGGAACCCAAACAGGGAAAGAAGATGGAAAACCAGGGCCTCCCTGGTGGTTCAGGGTGAAAATGTCCGCGCTGTCAGGCTGTGGCCAGAAGCCTCCGCCTCAGCTGGAGCCCCACAGGCAGCTGAGCTAACCCAGGCCCCGCAGACCTCTCCTGTCTAGCCTGCTGCGTCCCTTCTTAAAAAAAAAAAAAAATTAATTCATACAAGAATCAGGGTACAGGCCAGAGTCGCGGGAGGGTGCGAGGATTCACCAGAGACAGAGTGGGGAGAACAGACAGACGGACTGAAATACACTGAGGGGAGCAGCGGGCATGACAAGAGAGGTCTGCCTCGCCATGGGGGACTCTCCCTGGCAGGCGGAAATCCAATCCCCAAGGCAGAGCTGAGCGGAGCGGTCCCGGTCCCGACCCCGCTCCGCCCGGCCCCGCCCCGCAGCGCAGATGGATGCTGACACCAAGGGACACCTACACCAGACGGATGCTGACACCAGACACTAACAACGACCCGACCCCGCTGCGTGGACTGGGAGCAGAAGAGGGAGGCGGCGCGCGCCAGCCTCACAGCACCGCCCTCAACCCGCCGCCCACCGGGGAGGCCCTGCTGCGTCCCTTAAGACGTGTATTTCGGGGCCTCCCTGGAGGAGCAGGGGTGAAAGGCAGGGCCACCCCCGACCCCGGCAAGGGCGCCCCTCCCCTCCCGCCCCCAGCACCAGGGAGCTAACCTGGCTGCGTCCTGAGTTCCATCCCCGGCCGGAGCTGACCCCCCTGCACAGCAGCCTCTCCTGTCCAGCCCTGCTCCCCTCAGCCGTGCATTTCAGTAGATGCTCCCGTTCTGCTCCCCACTGTCTCTGGTGAGTCCTCTCACCGCCCCCCCACCTCTGGCTTACACCCCAGTTCTTGTAGCATAAATAAATCAATCTTCAACAACAAAATAAAAACACCACACTTGTATTAGTAGATCTGCCTGCTCTGCTCCCCGCTGTTTCTTGGGAATCCTTCACCCCCCACACCTCTGGCCTGTACCCCAGTTCTTGTGCATAAATAAAAATAAATCGAAAGAAAAAAAACCCCACAGGCCACACCCCTCCTGACAGGGTCCCCAAGACACCCAGGGGACCCCTCCCAGACCCGGAAAGGCCCAGGCTCCTGCCCCCCACGACCAACGACCCCCACTCACCAGCGCCCAGGGCTACGGCGGGGACAAGGGCAGCCAGAAGCAGAACTGGCCACGGCCCCATCCTGCATTGGCCTCCGGAGGCGCCGGCAGCCAGAAGCGCGCCCACCCGGACAAACGGCGTGATAAGGTATAAGGACTAGCCTGCAAGTACTTACAGAAGGAACTTTGTTCAGCTCAAAAAAGACCCCACTGCTCCGCCCACCAGCAGCACCACCAACCAGAGGCGCCGGCGGCCACAGCGGCCCAATGAGCAGCACAGGGGCCGGGAGAGCCCGGAGGACACGCGGCACAGGAAACAGGCCCAGGGACGGTAACAACAATTTTCAGACGAACTTGACGCAAACTTATGACAAACCGCAGAATAAGACACAAACGCCTTAGAAGGAGAGACGGGGCGGGGCCAGCGAGGGCAGAACCCTGGCCCGCCCCGACCAGCCCTCGAACAAGCCCTCCTGAAGCCTCTCAATTGTTTTCCCGGCATTTCCTGCCCCTCCCGCCCCTTCCACAGCTCCTTTAGGAAAGCAACAACAAAAAAAGGTGGAGGGGGGAAAGCAAACACGTGGACCCAGGGTCCGGAGGTCTCTGCAGGGGAGAAAAAATGGACAAAGTTACAGGAGCCTGAATTTAGGATCCCAAAGCCCCAGGAAGCG